TAAACACTGTCGATTCCAGCCAAAAGCTTGTCGAACACCTCCTTACTGTCAAGAGGAGGGGTCATTCCTCTGGTATTCAGTCGATTCCGTTTGATGAACTCCAGCGACGATGAGATCATATCTTCCCTCAGTTTCCTCTTAATGGCACGCTGCAGACTCTTAGCTTGTTGTATATGATGCGTCACGGCTTCACGCAGCTTGGCGTTATCTTCTTCGCTGCTTTGTCGAAGCATCGACTGTCGCCCTGCGATTTTCTCCCACATTATCGACGCCTCTGTCTTGTGGCCTGCTTGTGCCCTCTGCACAAACTTGGGTGCTGTTTCGATAGCGTTTGGGAGTGTGGAATGCACTCCTGCCGCCATTTTGAGCCGTTCAAGCTCAGTCGAGAGCTGCTTTACGACCTCACGGAGGTGCAATACCTCCTCCTTACGTCGCTGTCGCCATGACTTCTTCGCTGGCGCTTTATCAGGTGAACTGACGGAACTGGAGCTATCGGACCAGGTAGGTGTTAACGCATCGCATTGCGTTGGTGTAGAGGTAGCGGAGATCGATGGCTGGACAGCAGCTTCATTCTCCACCTCGCAGTCGGCCAGGAACGCCAACACCGACGACTCATCCAGTAGAAAATCGTCCTCTGGGCTTGGCAGCATCGCAGATATCCTTGATGTTCAAAGGACGGTTGAATTGTCTTAGCAGTCGACAGGAGCTGAGCTGGTGTGACTGCTCCTAACTCTGGCGGTAAGTTACGGCCACATGGGCAATCATTTTGAACGGAATAGAGTGTAATCAAAGAAATCCAGGAATATTATGTGGACCACAAATGCAATGTACCTCGTTTGGTTTTAGGATATTGAAGTAGTTTAGTATCAAGATGGTCGAGCTTCTTTTTCTCGTTGGCAACAATTCAATCTAGAAAAGTTTAAGCTTGGGAGCGGCTGCTAGTGCACAATAAGGATCGTTGTCTGCGAATAACTTGTCCACTTTCTCCAACAACGTCTTCCACCGCTCTGCAAAGTACAAGGGGTAACCTTTCAACGTGCGGAACCTTGGGTCACTCCTGGGCAGTTTCGAGAAATCAACAATTCTCAAGTCAATCGCGATAGATTTTGGAAGTATTTTGAAATCTCCCGTCCATCTTTGATAGAGTTGTGTTAGCAACGTTGTGGAGAGCTTCTTTATATCCGGAATATCCTTAATCGACTGCAAAAGCTCTCCATATCGAGACTCTCGCCTGCCCCACTTCATTTGCAATAAGAAGTGGGGTATTCCCAAATCCGAGAATGAATCACCTCCCATGTACAACTTAACGTATCTGAGCCACTGGACAAAGAGGGGGTTCGTGTCGAGGCTGCCGAAATCCACATCCCCAAAGACGCAAGATGTCAAAAACATCTTGGGGTTCTAGCCTGACTTCAACCATACATCGTTTACCACTCTGTGACTGGAGGCGGAGTCCAAGATCAAGTAGGCCTGCCTCTCGTCTGCGATGTTCTTCACTCCCGCGTATTGTCGAAGCGAATGTATTTCAGGAAACGCCAGCTTGGGGGAGGGCGCGCGAAACGAGAAGTGCCGCCCCCACAGTTCAGGTGGATGGAACCTTCTAAAAGGTTCCACGACCGCCCTACATCTGCTTTTCTGTATTTCATACTGAATCTAAGTTAAAATAAGCCTGCTTCGGATTGGCTACAACTCTACACCTATCATATCTGATACACTCACCCTCCCTCTGGCGTGCAAGTCCCCTCAGTCTTGCCATTCCCGAAATTGCGCTGTAGGCTAGAGGTGCCGTTCCCCGTCGGATTAGTCCGACCCCGAGTTACCCACGCCTGCCTTGTGCGGGCCTGTTTACTTGGGGCTTGGATAGGTCCGTCTGGGAGCATGGCTGTGCCTCCTGCGTCAGCTGCTGCTGCTAGTGCTAGCCCGGCTCCGCCGCTCCCTCGCCTCGCTCAGCGACCGGCATGACTTCGCCCGCTTCGTCTGAACCCCCACACGTCGGACGAGGAGCTCCTTGTGAGCTTTCTCGACTGGGGCCCCGACAGTGACTTCGGTTCCCGTGCTCTGGTCGTTCTCGCGCTCGTTCGTCGATGCCTGCC